CCGTTAACCCCGCACTGCTCCCCAGGCGCTGCACAATGGCAGCCTGCTGCTCTCCAAGAGGATGGGTCAAATGCAGAGAGGAAACTTCATTGCTTTGTACTTGTGACAATAAAGTTGCTTCTACCTCTTCAAAATATTTATCATCTGCCTAATTTTTAAACACATTTTATGACTGCCTTTTTTGGGGGGTAATGCTGCTATTTTAAAACCTGCCTCCCAGAGAGTTTGTGTTTCATTAGGACCTTCTAATTACCATTCCACCCTTTTTAGTTTTTTCCATTTTGTCGATCAACAAATGGATCTTATCAGTAAAGAGCCATACCTCTTTTCTGATAAGGGGGGTATTTGGTATCTGCCAGCTGATTAGATTTCATTTCACTTTGGAATTTATAAATACAAAAATTTGATTAATGACTTAACAAATGGACTATCACAGCTTATTTGATGTTAATCGAGGAGAAAATATTTAGATCCACTAAACCAAATTAGTAATAAAGAATTCAAAAACACACGGCAAACAAAACTATAAACAATGATGAACACATTTTAGGGGAAGGTGTTATTCACAACTAAATTTGATAAAACATGTGATTTAAGGATTTTTTAAGATAATGGTTCAGGTACATGTAAGTGAAATGAAAGCAGTAGAAGAAATCGTAACACCCCCCTCCTTAAAATTAAGATTAACTTTTACACTTTTACCTCTGCTAGTGTCTCAAATTGGTATTCAATTTAAATCAGTGCTTTACTTATTTGTAGTAGTGGAGAAAGACAGTCGTTTCACTTATTTTTTTGAGAATACATGTGTATTTTTTTCACTACAAAAATCATACTATTTTCTGATAATCCTGAAAGGTGCTTCTAGTGTATCACAATTTGCTAAGATCAGAAAAAAAAATATTTCATGGAAACATTTAAACCAGACAATATTTTTTAAAAAACTCTATAGACACTCTATAGAAAACCTGCAAAACACACACACACGCTCACACACACACACACACACACACATATGTATAATATATATACTTGTGTGTGTTTTCTCTCTATTCAGACCTAAGAATGATCTGTTCAGCTAAGACTATATCAAAAGGAAGCATAATTATATGTAATAAACACATATTACTCCATAAAATAAGCTGAAGAGCCATAAGGGTGGATAATGACATCCTGTCTCTGCTGAGTTCCTCTGAAATCACCAGGTTAGCTACCATTAATGTTTGGCGTATGCTAAAGAACACTTAAAACCTATAAAACCTACATTAGATCAATTATCCTAAGTAACATAATATATAGACCTAAATAATGATTACATTTAAACTTAAATATTGTGCGTTTTAACTCCTTTGTTTTAGCAAAGCTAGCTAAACCACTCGAGTGTTAGCCACGTCTAGCTATCAAAGTTATCTACTGAAAACTAAACACGAAACCAAAAAACTGACACGGTTAAAGTTATAACTTTACTGGTACCCACCTTTGTGTCTTTTCTTCTCTAATGAACCAGCCGTTATTGGTCTTCTTCAACGGGATGGACGGTAGGAGACACTTGCTGACCAGCTAGATTTGCACATTTCAAAGCTACAAGGGGGAGAAAAGATGCTTCCACCTCGATTTCTCTTCACTTTTCGGCCTTTTTCTCGCAGGAAGTATCCTCTTGTGTCCGAGAATAACAAACGACCGGTGTTTCGTTGCTAAAACTGACTTTGAATCTGTTTCCGAGCGACGCCTCCTCCGTGGCGAGGCCGTAAATGAAGAGCACGCCTGCTGATTTCTGATCAGCGATTTTAAAATCAATGGACACTGAGAGAAAAACGGGGCGGGGACGCGAGCCTGCAGGCGTGATGACGTACACATAGATATAGACCGACTAGATGCCGCATGAGTGGCATCTAGTCGGAGTGGCATTGAAAGATGGGGTAATTTTTTGAAATTGACATTAATGTATGAAAAATTTGGCCAAAAGAATTAAATTGTTATTACCATAGTTTGATTCTATATCTCACATTAAAAAAAATTTATTATATCAAAATTCAAAGGCGGTAAAGAAGTCTTCCGTAAGATCCAATTTTGAAAATCCTTCCAAAAAATATTTATGATATTGCACTGAAAAAAATAGATGTTATGCTGTTTCAATATCTGAATCACAGAATACACAAGAGTTGGTAGTAATGTTAAATTTTCTATGTAAGATACCATCACAGGGGTAAATGTCGTACATAATTTTGAAATGGATTTCATTTACTTTCTGTGGAAGAGGAAATGAAAGATACCTGGTTCTAATTTTCTTTAAAGAGGTATCATCATACTTTTTGAACAAATGTTTTCTTCTTAAGGTTGATGGAAAAAATATTGATGTCAAGGTGGTTCTTATAAATCTATTAGTACATTTTTTGTCAATAAAATCAAAACCGTTTATATATAAAGATGATTCTTTTAGAGCAATTGTTGAATATGTTATTGTGCCTTTAATTAGTAACACCATAGCAAGGGGGGCAGACGTGAACGTTGTGAGAGGTTTAGAAAAGAAGGGACAACGCTGTACAAGAATGTTTGTTCCCATGTTTAGGTCTCTGTGATGGCTGTAAGAAAATATATATGGAGGTTCAGCGGTGTTTCTTCCATCCTCACTGTCTTGATCAAATTTTTGCCACCTTTTAAGAGTAGTAATTGTCGAGTAATTATTAGTTTAGTTTAGCTGTTTATTTTCAGACAATGCCTCTTAATCCCATTTAGTTTAAATTCCCAATTCTTAAAACATGCTTTTTTTCAAATGCCAACTTTAGCTACCTCTTTCAGCATGGGGCATCATTTGTTGCTTTTTTTTAATTTATTTTTTAGATCCTTTAGCCTACTTCATGTTGCTAGTCGGGTTCTTAATCCCAATGGATTTAGTAGATTATAGCTCCCTTATACATTTTCAAAAGCCATGTTTCTATCTCTTGCAGCATCGGGCATCATGTGTTGCATTTTGAGATCTTTTATCCTACTTCATGTTGCTAGTCAGGTTCTTAATCCCAATGGATTTAGTAGATTATAGCTCCCTTATACATTTTCAAAAGCCATGTTTCTATGTCTTACAGCATCGGGCATCATGTGTTGCTTTTTGAGATCTTTTATCCTACTTCATGTTGTTAGACAGGTTCTTTTTAAAGTAATTCAAGGCCTTGCCGCTTCCTTTTGCTCACACTAACTGTAGGGTGCACAGTTTAAATTCCTTATATAATGGTTTATAAGTGATCCATACTCGTTTTACCTGAAAGCTGAGCCTCAGTATTCATGAAACATATTATGTTGTTAAAGAATATACCCACTGTCTGGTGTAAGGTCAGCGTTACTACAACTGTTTCTCCCTTCTTCCTCCCTTTCATGATACCCTGACTTTATACATAATCTCCAGCCTAGTTTTGCTAACTTAGGTCTCAGAGAGTGATTAAAACATTTGGTGGCCTTTTTTCAAGAGGACTCACTTCTTTGATTTAATCACTTAAAAGTACCCAAGCAGGGTCTTACCAATAAAGATTTTTTTTAATTACTTCCAGATAAAGAGCTTTATTTTCTCTAAATTAAAGGTTTGTAATGGTGGGTTTGCTACATCTCCTTAGGATTACTGATGGTACAAACTGCCAATCTAAAATGTTAATGTTGTTTTACAGAATAGGGGATTACTAATCCATCATGGCTTTGTCAAACTGCTGCCTACCTTTGTGAAGCAGGAAAAAGAATAATACAAAGTGAATCCAGTGGATCTTTTTACCTGGAATGGGTGACAATCGTTGAATAAACGTTTGGCCCTCAAAATGGTATCAGTGCCCTATTTGTCTGTAGTCGCTGATACAGATTTCACCATTTTAATGCAGTATCGGGGCCCTGCCCATTACTGGTATCACTATCGGTGCAAGACTAGTATATACTGTTTTATTGCGCTCCATGGTGCATTATGGTATTGTGGATTTCTGATAAAGCTCCATCTATCAATCAGTGGCTGCAGGCTGTGATAGGTAATGTACTCATGGAACCCTTTCTACAGTGCTTTTCACACATGGTACCCTTTTTCTTGACTATTTGGTTGCTTCTGCTCAGAGGATGGGACTGGGTTTATTGGATTTGGTCTGGTAAAAAAGTGACAATTGTTAGTATTATTTTGTGACTATTTGTATTTCTTAATTTCTCTAAGTATATTATTGTCTTGTGTATATTATATGGTCGGGACTGTTGTGACCCGGATTTCCAAGTTCAATAAAATGTGTTTAAAAGAAACAAGGGATTCTGATACTTTGATATTCTACAATTATAATCATAAACGCAACATTAATTGGTACATTTTAAGAACACAAAATTACAGACAGTAATAACATTAGCATAAATTAAGAATAACCAAACCATGTGTATTGATTTATTTAAAATAGAAAAGGTCCAGTTTATAGAAAAGAAAGAGATTACATTTTCTTCAGCTGAGTTATGATGAAATATTTTATTTTCATTATGGTTATTGCCAACAGGAATAATAATAATGATAAAAATTCTGACAAAACAATTTTAGATTTTAGTTTTAAATACACCCCTTTAATAATAAAAAAAGACATAAAAATTTAAGTTACTATGTTTAAAACCTTGTATTAGAAGAGTTTAGAGAAAAAAATTCACTTTCATAGGTGATTATTCTCTTTTATCAGCACTAGTTTCTTTTATTTTAAAGTACGCTGACAGGAAATTGGCCTGTGAAAGAGAGAGAAAAATATAAGTAATACAAAAAAGGGGCAATGACTTGAACTATCTTGAGGACCGGGACCTCTGTATCTTGTTTGCGTGCTTCATCTGACTTTTTCTTAAGTTATTTTCTCTCAGTGATCGAATTCTTTGGTTTTCCAAGCACGTTTCTACCACTTTCTAAGATTAACCTGCCCTTACTAATATGGCAGTCTCGCTGACGTCTGACGTCATACGGCGCCGCCAAGTGAGTACGGCGTCTAACCTCTTTGCGTCTATGCACGCAGCACGCGAACAACCGTTTACGTTCACTGCGAAACATGTCGGCTCCCCAGAAAACGACAAAGGTAGAAAATCTGCACCAACTTTAAAAGCTTAATGACGAAAATAATAGTTATTAATCCATTTATAGATCTGCCGTTGCACACAGCAAACAACCGCTAACGACTTCTCCATTTTCACAAAGTTTATTTATGCCCTTGTCTGGAACAATGGCTTTTTATTTCAAGCATAGAGTGCTAGCAGTGTTAGCCTCGTTTGGGTTGTCCTATAGTTGTAATATTGTTTAACGTCTATGTGTCTTTTAAACTTGTTTATGCTCCGTAAGGCGTTTTTTTTCGTTTTTAAAGTTTGACAACAGCCTCCTCTTTCTGAACAGCAAATGTGCCAAAAATGTTTAGATTTTCAGGAGATAAAGATCTAGCTTTGCAGTTTTATGCAGGCTAATTTTATGCTAAATAACTATTTTTCTTTTTTATAAAGGTCAGTCAAAAATATCTACTATGTTATTTAGTAGTCTGCAAAATAGCTTCAAAAGCAAAAAAAACAACAACAAAAAACTCTTTTTTTTTCAGTATCTTTGTTTCGTTTGTTTGCAGGCACCTTTAATAATGCATCCTGATACGTATGGCCTTAATACTTTTTTTAATCCTATTTGATTATTATGCAATAGTTCTTTCATTATCACAATTAAATCCACTATAAGATAGATTCATTAGACAGAGACTGAGGTTTCAAGGGCTTTATTTTTAATCCAATATATTTATAGCTATTTAATCTATAAGTAGTAGCATACAACACAGTGAAACTGATCTTTTAATTTACTAAGTAGATTAGTTTGATAAACACTGAAGTAAATACACAATAAAACATATCAGTTTTTTAAAGAGTATGATGTTATCAATTGTTGATCATTATAATTAGTAATAACTAGAGGCCAGATGTTTTGAAGCAGTCTAATAATTCTGCTTTTGATGATGAGTTTGAGTTGCCCCGACCTCGGCTCGCCTTTCCATTATGGCCTTTTGGAGAGAGGGGGAATTGATAAGTGGTGGGAATCAAAGAGAGGCTTGCTTGTACTCTTAACACTGTGCTGTTTGTCAGGCATGGGGTCGGTAGTGTCATCCTGTGGAGCCCTTTTTTATGCTGGTAATACTGATGTGTTGCAAAAACGTAACTCCATAACTAACAGAAATTGGTGACTAAACCAAAGAATGTGCCACAAAACAAGCCAACCTTAATGTAGCCAATCTATACTTAATAGTGTTCAGATACCTGGCTAGAATTTTGCCAAAAGCTTATCGATTGTGCCAAATGTGCATCTTTCAAAGTTTTAAAATTGCCAAGAGAGATTCATTGAATTATTGTTAGAGGTGTGTATCTGGTTGAGCCTGAATTTATCTTTCTTTTTACCCAATGTGTACCAGTAAAAAGCTACTGTTGGGAACTTTTGTTATAAGTAAGGGTATTTAAGTTATTTGAAGTTATTTGTTGAGTCACCAGTCCACACTGGTAAACGATCTGATTTCCAATGACTTTCCAATGACCATTTGGATGATCCAGAGGAAGTCTAGGTAATTCCGGAGAAAGTCATATTGTCAGATGAGACCAAAATAGAACTTTTTGGTCATAATTCCACTAACCATGTTTGGAGGAAGAAGAATGATGAGTACCATCCCAAGAACACCATCCCTACTGTGATGCATAGGGGTGGTAGCATCATGCTTTGGGGGTGTTTTTCTGCACATGGGACAGGGCGACTGCACTGTATTAAGGAGAGGATGACCAGGACAAGGTATTGTGAGATTTTGGGGAACAACCTCCTTCCCTCAGAGCATTAAAGATTGGTCGAGGCTGGGTCTTCCAACATGACAATGACCTGAAACACACAGCCAAGATAACCAAGGAGTGGCTCTGTAAGAAGCATATCAATGTTCTGTTGTGGCTTAGCCAGTCTCCAGACCTAAACCCAATAGAGAATCTTTGGAAGAAGCAAAAACTCAGTGTTTCTCAGCGACGGCCCAGAAACCTGACTGATGTAGAGATCTGTGTGGGCCAAAATGTGCAAACCTGGTGGTAAAATTACAGGAAACGTTTAATCTCTGTAATTGCAAACAAAGGCTACTGTAACAAATGTTAAGATTTTCTCAGGTGTTCAAATATTTTTTGCAGCTGTATCATACAAATAAATAGAAGAAAAAAAATCATATCTTGTGATTTCTGTTTTTTTTTTTTTTTTCAAAATTATGTCTCACAGTGGGCATGCACCTAGAATGACAAGTTCAGACTCCTCCATGATTTCTAAGTGGGAGAACTTGCAAAATAGCAGGGTTTTCAAATACTTATTTTCCTCACTGTATACCTCCACTACTTTTGGACTTTTGTATACTCTTTAAACTTGTTGTTCTCTTGTTTTTTCCCAGGAGGGCCTAGACCAAGATGACACAGCAACACAGACTGAACCATTAGCCGGTCCCAGTGAAGTTAAAGAAGGTGAGTTAGCATCTTTTTAATGTTTTATTTATTTATATATATATATATATATATATATATATATATATATATATATATATATATATATATATATATATATTAACAGAGATGCTTTGAATGTTTAGAGGATCCTGCAGCTCTCACCTCTTCTGCTACCATGGTAGAACCAATGGGTGGCATACTATCCTCACTGAAGTCGAGGCCTCCAGAGAAAGACAAATCTGACTCTGCTGAGGATTGTGACATGTGGTCGCCTCCTTCTTCACCAGTGAACAAACCCACTGCAGGTAAAACGATCATATATTTGAACAGAGAAATGTTATTTATCACCTTTTTGTAAAAGGCAATCTTAACCATCTTAATGTGTTATAGTTGCCCTGGGGGGATAAATCTAGGTCTTGTAACATATATAATAGAAATGCAATTCTATTTTTTTCCTAAAAATGTTCTTAACTTGGCTGGCTGTATTTAAGAATAGTAAAACAGTAAAGGAAGGACTGTCGAACCAAATCATTCAGGATTCTGTCTCAAAACAGTTTCCTTCGGTTTTATGTTTTTTCTTTGTATATGTAAGTGATTAACTGGTGAAACAGTATTAGGAAAAAAAAAAACTAAGAAAAAAAAAAACTACTTTCACTTTTTTTTTTTATTGTTGAATATTTTGATTATTTTCAGATTTCCCTTAACTCTAATTGCTTTTACTGATTTTTCTTTTAATGTTATTTTTATTATTATTATGATTTATTTATTTATTTAGTTTAACAGGTCACGCAGCAAAGTCCATTTCCTCCATGTCTCCTTGTCCTTACACGTCCTCACCACTGTCGCCCGGCAGAGCAAAGATGAGCGTTTCTGGGCCGTCTACCAGTAAATCCAACCTCCCCTCTGCCCCTTCAACCTCCTCCTCCCCCTCCCTCTCAGCCTCTTCAACTCCCTCCGTCTCCCCAGGACCACACAAAATCCACAGAGCCCGGAAGACCATGACCAGGCCCGCATCGAGTCAGGTCAGACAGACCTGGCTGGCTTTTATGAAAAATTAAGATGTTTTTTTTTTCCTTAAATCTTTTTGGGTATTTTTGTGTGACTTTATGTTTTTTATTAACAGATCGGCCATGTTGATACTCTTGCCGCTTCCAGGACTCCTTCAGGATCTTGCGTCTCCTCTGACTCTGAAACTGGTTAGTAGCCTTAAAAACGCTGATATTTGTTGAATTCCCTCCACCTATGAATAAGTTGCATCATTCATGCACAAGTGTTCCCATCCTAAACTCTTCTTTTTATGTTTTTTTTTTTTTTTCAAAAATTGCCATTTAATCATCAGTCTATCCATTCGTCACTTTATCTGCCCTTAATATGTTTTTTTTTAATTTTACAATGTTTCCATCCATCCAGTGTTATTTTCGTCAACGATGACAAAATTATTTCGTTGACGCCCCTTTTTTTCATGACTATATGAAGACTGACGAGCTAAACATGGATCTTTGATGAGTAAAACATGACTAGTCATAGGTTTCAGTTTTAGTCAACAAGACAAGACTGATTAAAAGTTAGCAGGTCTTCGCTCAGATATTAATACTGCATCTTTGTGCTGTAATCAGCTAAGCAATATCAACCGTGCTGCTGCGTCTCTTGATCCTGAGGTCTGAGAAAATAACCTGGAATGAGGCGATACTGCGAGCTCAACTCTGACAAACTCTGCTCTGATCTGCCAGCTGTGCTTGTAAAAAAAATGTGTTTTTTTTTGTGTGCGTAGCTCTGCTCTTCACACTCCACTCTGATGGTTCGATCTTAGCAGTATGGCTCTTCCTGCTCTTGCTTCTTAATAAGCTATTTGGGGCTGATCATCCTTTGCCAAGTGTAAAAAAAATCCCTTTCCTATCAATATTTTATTTCTTCCAGCTCACAAGTGGTGATACTAAACATTCTTTAATTTCTACCAAAATGAATCCCTAAATATATCCACATAAAATATTTAATCAAAAATGTATTATAACTCTTTCTTTAAAGTGAATATATCTGTTTTTGTTGTTAAACTAAAGCTGTTTCTGCTTGTTTTGCTTTGTATTGATTTTAACAGCTGCAAAAAAGAGGAAACTATCCGAGACTACTGCTGGAGGAGGTGAAAAAATGGCAAACAAGACTCAGACTCTGGTAATTTATTGACTAATTTTAAAGGCTTTCCTGCATTTCTTCTGGTTTTATCTTTTCAATGTTTTTTTTTCTTTTACTTCATAGGATGAGAAGTTATCTCCTAAAAAACTGGAGTCTGTTTCGAATGCGTCTTTGAAGAGCAGGAACTCCTCTGACAAATCGGCTGATGATGGAGGCCATTTGTCATCTCTAGATTCTGAAAAGGTGAGAACCATCATAGCATAACCGCAGATTTTTTTTTTAAATTTTTTTGTATGTAGGAGAAGTAGAATCATAATTTGGTTGTTTTTTTGTTCACAGTCGGACAATAAAGGTGAAGAGAGGCAGCAGACTGAGGATACAGAAGATCAGGTCAGTTATTCTCTCTTGAGCTCTGTAGATATGTCCCTGTTTGGTTATAGCTGCAGTTATTTCACACTTTATTCTGTTAGATCTCTAAACCAGTTCGGTTGTGGACAGATTGGATGTTTTCTTGATGATGTCAGATGACTTTCTCCTTCTTTTAACGATATTTGTAAAGTATAAAACAGCAGAAACATCCCCCTGTATGTCTCATTCTCCTTATGATGTTGTTCTCATTGGCAGAGTTTGGAGCCTGAAAGAAGGTCTCCTGGACCGCTGTCCGATCACGACAAGAACACGGCCACAGTTGATGTGGTAGAAACAGAGGAGGGTGAGTCCAGATATATAAAGAGGAAGATAATCCCTCTACCTCCTTTTGTATTTTAACTTAGCTCACATTGAAATGTTTTAGATTGTGGTCTTAAATGATTATTTAGACTCCACTAGTGCAAAAAAGAAAGGGACTGAAGTCCAGAAATAAATCCAGATATTTATTTCTGGACTTCAGTCAGGCTTCATTTGAGGATGTTAAACTCAAGTCAATATCCGAAGGACTCTCCATATAGTTGAAGAAATAAAGAAGGGAAATGAAAGTTTAGATGCAGAGAAAGCCTTTGGTTCTGTTAGCTGCCTGTTAAAGCCTTCTATCAGGACCCAAAGGCTTAGATTTAAGATAAAGGGTATTCTGATGGTATGCTGATTCTTTTAAATTGTTCGTTTTTTTTTGTTTTTTTCCCTTTTGCAGAAAGATCTGGTGAATACACAGAAGTTCCTTTGGGGGCTTTGGACATTGCTGCTGCAGACAGTCTGACTCTGTCTCCTCCTGCTGGTCAGTTTACAACGGTTACTGTTTCTTTAAACTTTGGACTTTATGTCACAGCTGCTGGTGCCTTTTTTAGTCTGTTGATTGATTAATCCATTCAGTTTTTGTGAAATTAACAAACGGCATCAAGTTCAAAATCCTTTGGATGAGAATTTCTTTGGTTTTATATGTTTTACAAATTATTGAAAATGTACCCAGGATCTTTGTCTCTTTTTTGTATTTAGAGATTTGGGGGATAAAGAACTCCTTCATTTAATGTACAAATTTTATGAAAAAACTTACTTTAGTGTTTTTGTGTAAGGCATGTCTCTAGAAAATATTTTTGTTCTAAATGTGAACTATTGTGTCTGCAGAGGGAAGCGAAGCAGGCGACATGGAGCGCCTGGAGGAGCTTCCTCTGTGCAGCTGCAGAATGGAGGCTCCTCGGGTGGACAGCACCAGTCAGCGGGTCAGCAGGCAGTGTATGGCCACAGAAAGCCTCAACGGAGAGGTTTGTTCTGTTGTTCTGCTGGGGGGCTTGATAGATTTATTATTTATATGGTGATTTTTTTAGCTGTTGTTTGAGAGGTAAAAAAAATATATACTGGAAACTGGAACCAACAAAGGGGACCTGACTACGGACCAGAGAGATGCATCTTTATGTCTTTGATTTTATTTTATTTTTACCTGAGTAGCACTTTTATGATTCTCCTTGTTACTTCTTAATTACTATTTTCTTTAGGGAAAATGTGTTGGATGGGAAGTAAGTGCCATTGTTCAAAGATATACAACAAAAAACTGAATAAAGACAAAAGAAAAGAAGTAGAAACTTAAAAATTAGAAGCATATATAAAGAAGCTGAGGAGGACTGAGCTGTTTTGAACAGTCCGTTATGTTTATTATCCCCAGCAGTTTAAAACAGGTAGAAAAACCAAAATCTAAAATTAAAATAATCTCTTATTGTAACCCGGGAAATAGTTTCTGTTTTTTAGTGTGCTTATTTCAGCCTAAACAAAACACACCTCATTTACATGTTTAAAAAATCTCAAATCCAATCTATGTTCTGATGTGTTGGTTTTTAGCTCCGGGCTTGCAGCAACTGGACCATGAAAGCGGAGACGATGCGACCATCCAGTCGGATCCCCCTCATGGTGCTCTGTGACGTCCATCGCTCTCACATGGTCAAACATCACTGTTGTCCTGGCTGTGGATACTTCTGCATAGCAGTAAGTGTAAACATGTAAATGGAGGAGAAAATGTTTATTTTGCTGTATCAGAAAATAAATCCCAGAGATTTAAGTGTTTCTTTTTTATCACGCACTCCTGTTTTATGTTCCTCAGTATTTCTTTCTTTTTGTTATTTCAATTTTATTTCCTTCATTCACTCTAATAAATCGCTGTAATACTATCATGATTACTACATAGGATACAAAGGTATTTGGATAATAATAGGAACTCAGAATACTAGGCGAGTCTTCCCATCAATTTTATATATTATTTTAAGCTAGTATGAAAGGTTAGCCAGTCTGTCACAATGAGACATCGAGGCTGCACAAACAACCATGCACATTCACACACTGGACCCTAAGGGCAATTAAGAAGGGCAAGTCATCCAACCACATGTTCTTGGATGGCTAAAGCCAGAGTAACTCTGAAATCCCTGGAGAAAACATGAAAAGGCCTCACAGAATAACCCTGACTGGGATTCAAACCCAGAACCGTCTTGCTTCAAGTAAATTATGCTATTTAACACTTTGATAAATCTCCTCACTCCTCTACTTAAGTGATGGCCATGTGGCTAGTGCAAAGAGCTTTGAATCATGTGTTTCTGAGTTCGAGCCCTACAAGTTGCCACCCAGGATTCTTGAGCCAGACCCTTAACCCCAGACCACTCCTTTCGCACTGCACATTAGCTGGCAGCCTTATAAAAAAACAAAAGCTTGTCAGGCAGTGTTGGCCTAGTGGGTTAGAGCAGTGCGCTTGTGTTCTGAGAAGGTGGCAAGTATCGGTTATGGGTCTCTGAGAGAAAGACCCTTAACCCCACACTGCTCCCCGGGAGCCGCACAGTGGCAGCCCACTGCTCCCCAGAGGGCATGGTTTAAAGGCAGAGAGTTGATTTCTCCATTGGGAGATCAATAAAGTTCAATTTCTAATTTCTAGCCCTCAGTCTGCCCATTAATCTGCCAGTTAGCTGAGTTACTGTATATAACTAATCTCTTCATCCATTAAACCGTAACCTTTTTTTATTTACAGTTTAAAATTTTACAAATTAAATGTAAAAATGAAAAAGAACGACATTGGAAATGTTTAGGAACCAAACCTGACACCTTTACATCTCTGGTTGGCTTTATTCTTTTATTTCCTTTATCTCCTTCCTCACCTCGTCTTGTTTTAGCATCATTCCCGTTTCAAATGTTTAATCCTCTTTCAGGGCACATTCCTGGAATGCTGCCCAGACCAGCGGATCGCTCACCGCTTCCACCGCGGCTGTGTGACCGTACTGAGCGGGGGGCGCAGCAAAGCCAATGGCGGTGGGATGCTTTTCTGTCCACACTGTGGGGAAGACGCTTCAGAAGCCCAGGAGATCACCATCCCCTCCTCTGCCTCTACCTCCGCAACCACTGTTGTCACCATGTCGGCCTCCTCCACAACCACGCCCTCCCTTCCCCCATCTGCCCCGACAGGCCCCTCTCTCACTGCCTCAACAGGAGGGATGAAGGATGGGAAGATGCCTGAAAGACCTGTCAGGTAAGGGCAGGAAGTGAATTAGAGAGTTTGAGACATTTATAGATGAAACTCACATCTTTATCTTCTTAGTGCCAGAATGCGAAGCCACGGTTTAGTAACTCCGACCGTGGAACAACAGCCTCCCCAGCCGGTGCCCTCGGCTACAACTGTGCCTGCTGTTCCTCCAGCAGAGGAAGGGGTGGACAGCGTTGGACCGTCTCTCTGCATGCCCAATGGGAAATCAGTCAGCCCAAGTGCACTACCACCCGGGCCCAGCAGAGCGGCGCTGCAGAAAGCCATTCTTACACAGGAAACGGAAAGGTCAGAGAACGGCCTTTACAGAATGAGGCACAGCATGAATTGAGTGTTTAGAGCCCTTTTTAATTTTTGTTAGCCGATCAGTGTAAAATCTTTTATAATTTTAAGGTTTCTAACCGCTAAAATCTGATGAATTGCATTAAAGTGTTTTGCAAAACACACTTATTATTTCACCAAACATAATTGTCATCTAAAAAGAGTTGAAAAAATATAAACACATTGCTTTTGTTAATTTCGGACATAAAATGTTACTTTATGTACCAGGAGGAAGAAACTGAGGTTCCACCCACGACAGCTGTATCCTGCTGCCAAGCAAGGAGAGGTCCAGCGAGTGCTGCTGATGCTGAGTGAGTGCCATCAATTTAAATAACAAGCACTGTAAAATTAACCTCTGCCACTTATACTGTGCACATTTTAGGAAATCCTCAGCTCTCAGGAAAAAAGTTGTCAGTCCTAAAGGCTTATACTTCGAAACTAGGTCATCTGCGTAGGTGTCGCAGTGAACAAAAAAACGTCCCCGCCCCCTCCGCAGACACTCTGCTGCACCTCTCTCTAGAAATGATGAATGACTGTGGCAAATATTGTAGTAAATGAATAAAGTTGGCTTTATAAGTCCCAAAATAAACATTGAAGGTGTTTTTAGGCGAGAATGTTGCTTTGTTAAACACAAATATTTGCCTGGTTAGTAACAATTTCACTAAATGATGAAAAAGAGCTCTAACGATACCTGAAAACTTACAAGGTTTTTCCTAATACCTGAGAACTGATGATGTCCTAAAATATACACCGCACACATACTGTAACATGGATATGGCATTTAACAGTGATGTCAGAAGCTTTGGACACAGGCTAAAATTGCAGAAAGTTTTTTTCTTTTTTTTTCTTTAATCAATTAAATGTACAATAACATAATTAATAGATTAGTAACACCTACGCAGACGACCAAGCAGAGTAATCTGATTTCTGTAGAAAATAGATCTGTATCATAGATCTGAATGTCAACAATAACTGGCTCACTCTTGTTTAATAAAACGTTGTGTTCAAGCCTGCTTTTAGTAAAGCTCATTTGATCTCTGTGATCCCATTTATTTTCATATGGAATTAAAACACAAACATGGTTGATAGAAGATAAGCTCTCTGTTTGGCAACTTTTCAGTTTTTAAAAAGATTTTATTCTGCACCTTTTAGTTGAAGAAATTAGGCCATTCTTAAATTGTTAGTTGAGGACTGTCAAAAAATGGTTCCAAGCTCCACAATACATATAAACATAAGTTTGCATTTCTTACCTATAAACATTGATGCAAATCGGCTTCTCTTGAACAGCATGCTTCCTTCCTTGTCTTTCCTATTTTGAAGAGTGGCTCAGAGAGATGGGTTGCTATGCTGCCTCCTATTTTACAGCATAGAGACTAGAATAAAAAATAACAAAGTAAAATTTCCCGAAAAAGAAACTGCTCAGCTTAAATTATTACCAAGGATCTATGATTTCTAAGTTACATTTTTGTTTGAGGAAAGGGCTTCCAAAAATAAGATACAATAAAAAGAACTTAAACAAATTGTGAAAAAAACAAACAGCAGAGATAATATTCTGAGGTTCCCAAACCGGACACCCTCTGGTCCCTGGCTGCGCCTAGAAATTCTGTCCATAAATGTAATGAACAGAACGGTTGACAAAGGGCAGCCCTGGTAGAGAGCAACAAGCACTGGAAAGGTCCGACATACTGCCAGCAATGCAAACCAAGCTCCTGCTGCGGTCATACAGAGAGCAGATAGCCCTTAACAGAGGGCCCCGTACCCCATACTGCTAAAGCACTCCCCACAGGGCACCATCATTCAATATTAACAACATACATTTTTATTTCCATATTTTTACACATTAAAATTGAATATATATACATTAAAAATCTGTAGCCTGCTGTCAGTCAGCTGTTCATTATTGTGTCTCACATTTGTCCTCAGCACGCTATTCTAACAGTTGTACACAAAGTCATAATTTCACATGTTTAAATGATTAATGCTTTATTTTATTTTTCGTTTATGTATCAAATCTTTCCTTTGACTAAATTCATTAAGTTTGTGATTTCCTAAAGTTTAGTAAATAAGCCAGAGAGGATGATGCTGCAGTTTAATCTTTGAAGAAGAAAGAGAAGTTTGCTGAATTAATTAAGCTGACTAAGAAAGGCAGTTCCTGAATGAGCTTAAGGGAAAATGCAGTCTCTCCTGCACTCCTTCCAAAAAATAAGATTTGTGAGCTGTCCAGCTTTTTCCAGGATAACACTTTATATTACATACATAATGCTATCAAAGAAGTCCCGTGAACAAAGGGGGGGGGGACACTTAGGTGTGCTGTCTCAGTAATTATAAGCAAATACCAAATTAAGTTAATTGTTGCTCCCTCTCTTTCAGTGGAGGGTATCGATCCAACATACCAGTCGGAGTCTCAGAACCGCCGCTCAGCTCTTCATGCTGCAGCTCAGAGAGGCCTGCTGGAGGTCTGCTATATGCTAATACAGGCAAGTCATCATCCACAGCAGCAGCTTGTTTGTCATCCTCACATATTAGGGCTTAAATAATCAACTAACACTATGCTTGGTTTGTTGATAGGCTGGAGCTCAGGTGGATGCCAAAGACAAAGATCTGAGGACCCCTCTGTTGGAGGCTGTGATCAATAATCATGTTGATGTGGCTCGCTACCTGATCCAGAATGGAGCCTGCGTTTATCATGTTGTTAGTATCTTTTTCTGCTCAAACCGATCATATTTACAGTCTTGTTCTTGATGTTTAGCCTTATTCGTTTGTCTTTCTTTACCAGGAGGAGGATGGATATACTGGTCTCCATCATGCTGCCAAACTGGGAAACCTGGAAATTGTTAACATGCTTCTGGAGACCGGCCAGGTTGACGTGAATGCTCAGGTAAGAAAAGAACTAAATCATAAACATCTGTCACAAATTTTGTTCATTTGCAGTTGACATCTGTTTCTAAGGATTCAGGGAGCCCCCCTCCCACATCTTTGATAAAGCTGTGTAAAGGCCTTCAAATTAAAGTATCTAATTTTAACCGTCTCTTACTGAAGATCAGTCCATTCAACCTTTTTATTTCTGTGTATTCAGAAGACAAACCTACATTTTTAACAGTTGGTAATGCTACTAAGACTGGCAGCTCTGCTACTTTTACACAACCATTGTTTTTTTCATTCACAAAAAGGTTCATTTCTGTTTACTCCATAATTGGCCAGAACTCCTTTTACATGCATTTTTCTACATCAACATTGTGGGTTAGGGGTTAATTTTTCACTGGAAAATTAAATGATAAACTCCAAAAAAGCTTGACAGTAGCAAGGAGCATGAAGTACTAGAATTTTCTATTAGATGGCTGCATTGAACCGACAGCAGCGGTATGTAAACCCAAAGCACCACTTACTGTGGAAACCTCTCACTAGAGTTCAAGCAATGCAAAGGCTGGTTTTCTCCACTCTTGCTTCCAAAGTCTGGGACCTTGATTTCTTAAATTCAAGCTTTTATTTCATGGAAAAACGGAACTTTAGACCAGTCAGCTGACAGACAGTTTTTTTTCCCACTCGTCAGCGGAGTTAAGAAGCTTCTGATGTTGCTTGGTTCAGAAGTAGCTTTGCACAAAGAATGCACACATTTAAAGCCGATGTGTTGGATTGGTCTCTGGGTGGTGGCTCTTTATGCACGCCTCCAACCTCTGTAGCTCCCCCAAATTCCTCTAACAGATTTCGGTTGACTATCCTCTTAAAGCTGTCTTTTCCTCTTGCTATTGCACCTTTTCCTACCAAATATTGTCCTCCTGCTACGTTTTCTGTGGATATATGCTTGGATACAGAACACTGCAAATAATCATCTTCTTCAGTTTTAAAATTTAGGACAACCATCAAGTCAGCAGTCTTTGAGTTAATTAGCTGATTAGGTTGTGACGCCGTGAATTTCAGATATTTAGCCTTTCCAGAATATTCTAATTGTCTGTAAGACATATCAAAATAAAATTAAATAAATGCTTCCCTCTTTGTTGTGAACATATACACTATATATGTAAACTGTCTAAAATTAGTTACAGAAAATGTTTCTTTTTTTTTTTTTTTTTCTTCAATTTTTGGATATTCTTGTAAAAATTGACCCCATGTTCCATCCAGGTTAAGGATTTAGGAAGAGAAATTGACCCACAGCCTAATACATCCTCAGCCTTACTATACAGTGAACATGAGATGCTTTTCTCTATCTGACCAAAATGCCTAGTTGAAATTAAATTAAGTTTTCTTTGATGCTAGATAAGAAAATTCTTTGGGCATATAGATGGAATCTAATGGTGTTTACAGACTTGGTAGCTCCAAGAGTTACTTTTTGCCTCATTTCTCCAACACTGAACTTTAGTGATTCTTTTAGCCTCCATTTTTATCATGCTAATGCTCCCGGTCCCAAAAACTAAATGCCCCCTCCTCCAATATTTATAACATTATGATTATTAACTGACAAGAGAACCTCATTTCTCCCTTACACGAGGGTCATGTTCTCTTCGAAATAAGCTAATAGAAAACATATTCATATCCCAGAGACACTGAACCATGTTTTGTTAATTTCATTTGAGAGTAATCCTGATGAGAGCGTTATGGCTGTCCCAATTTTGAATCCCTGCGTTTGGACATTTCAGGACAACGGTGGATGGACGCCAATCATCTGGGCTGCAGAGCATAAGCATGTTGAAGTGATTAAATCGCTGCTGAACAGAGGCGCTGACGTCTCCATTAAAGACAAGGCAAGTGTTCACACCTAAATGTGTTACAAGTTCATATAATCATTACAGGCCATCTGTGATTTCACTTTCTACTTGAATGTTAATTATTTCTTTTGAGAATATTTGGATTTTTTTGGTTCATTTACTTTATAATCAACAGTTCTGCTTCCTCCTGTGTCTGAACCAGCCTTTTTAAAACCTGAATTGAGCAGGAGGCTGGACATAGAGAGGTACTGGAGGAAATAAATTACAAAAGAAAAATGATAAATTAACAGGATAACCTTATTTAGCATTTTTGATTTCATCAGTTGCAGAAAAGACTAATTCTTAAGATTAACTACCCAAAGCAGGTTTATGATTTGAGATAAAGGGGAAGTGAGCTACATGGAAGCCTAATGAGCCATATTGATGTTCTTAATTCTGTTTGTAATCTTTCATTTGTCGGTGAGCAGTAAAATAATGTACACACATCTTAATAGAAGTTCCATCACTCTTGATTGTTATAACCAGCACAATGGTCATTTATTGTAACTAGAAATTTTAACAGCATAATGCCAGGAAAACGGAGGCAGGTGCTTAAACCTCACTAGTGGTCTATCTGTGCAATTGCAAAACAAATATACACTGCATGATTATATAGGCCTACAAAAATAACCCATCATCCCTAAATGGTGTAAACATGGAAATGCTGAACCTTCCTTTGGCTTTCAGGACAGAAACAATCCATTCCTGTAAATATTTTTTGCAAACTTAAAAGAACATAGTTGTTTGGGAAGCTTTGTTGCTTAAAAGCCTGATTGACATGTCATGAAGCAAGTCATCATGATTTATTTTAATTTTTTTCCCTCGAGATGGGAAAGTGTTGGACAATCAGGTGATGTTGTTAAAATGAAGCATGTTTGGATTATGGATGCACGTTCATGATCTGATCCATGGCACAGCAGGAAGACCAATAATTCCAGCATAAAGTTTTTTTTATAAGTCATTTAGAAAAAAAGACAAATGCTTGATTCCAGTTTAGTTTGTAAGTGATATATTTGTCAAATTGAAAACAAAAAAAATAAATAAAAGGGGCCTAATACTTTCTTCACATTCTTATATATCATTTTATAGCAGTTGCATTCAGCTTATTTATAGATATATTTCTATTAGAGCTAAGAACACAATAGAAATGCCTAAATTTACCAGAAAGCAATCAATAGAAAACCAATAAGTCTATATCCATGCTGTTGTACTACATAAACCTGCCTCTACAGAAGGTTTAGGTAGTACAAATAAATTTTTTTCTCTTTTCAACCTATAACAAGTAATTTTACTTGAGTTTGACAAAATCCCAACATTAGTCTGAAATTTCACAGCAGGATTATTAGTAGCAGCTCCAAAAAATCCTTTTAGAAGTAAGTAAAGTTTATTTAGTTTGCTTTTTAGAGACAGCAATCACAAGGTGTGCAATAAGACAAATATACAATACAGTAAAAGATACAAATAGTCATGGAGCCTCCCGTCACTCTGCCTGCATCTCATGCGAAGTTATGTTGATCTATTTGTCTTTTAAAGTTATTGGACAAGTAATTTTGTTTGAACTTTAGCAAAATCGACTACTTTATTCAAAGAATAGCAATAGATCCCAACCTTTGTCTATCCTCTTGATCTTGTTTCTTTTAAAATCTTAGAGTTTTCTGGTTAGGAGATCTTGACGACAGAAGTTTTCACTCCAAAAGCCACCATGATCTACTGCTGGCAGAGCTGCAGGTCGGGCTCCTCTATTCTAACTGAGAACTTTTTTGTTGTGTTGCAGGAGCTGAATGTTTGTCTCCACTGGGCGGCGTATGCTGGAAACATAGACATAGCAGAACTGGTGTTGAACGCCGGTTGCTCCCTCTCATCGGTCAATGTGCACGGAGACACCCCGCTCCACATCGCCGCCAGAGAAGGATACTTGGAATGTGTAACGTGAGTTTTCTGTTGATTACAGGAAAATGTTGTTTTTATCTAAGCACTCAAGGAGCGTTTTTTTGCTTGCTTCAGATTGTTTTTATCGAGAGGTGCAGATATCGACATCATGAACAGGGAGGGGGACACGCCTCTAAGCCTGGCACGGCCTGACACACCTGTCTGGGTTTCACTACAGATCAACAGGAAGCTGAGAAGAGGAATCGCCAACCGCCTGATTCGGACAGAGCGAATCATCTGCAGGTATGTTTCCTCACGGTTTGAGTTATCCTCCTTGCTTATCAAACCTGATTCAATTCCGTGGTTTGTTGGTCGCAGCGATGTCGCACAGGGCTACGAAAACATTCCAATTCCCTGCGTTAACGCAGTGGACGACGAAGGCTGTCCTTCGGACTATAAGTATGTTTCGGAAAACTGTGAGACTTCAGCAATGAACATAGACCGAAACATCACACACCTGCAGGTAATCTGGTTTTATTTAACATCCCATTTTTATGAAGCCTTTCCTTTGGTGTTTTTGCTTTAAGTAATATCACATAACCTTTAATTTCATTAGCACTGTAGCTGCACTGATGACTGCTCCTCCAGCAACTGCCTCTGTGGGCAGCTGAGCATCCGCTGCTGGTATGACAAGGTAAATAGCTGCTTTAAGATATCTAGGATTAATTTAATTGATCGAAAAATACTATTTACAAAAGTAGAAAGTAAAACATTGCTACCAGTTTGGATTCTCATAAACAGTTGTTGGTACAACCTTTAGAATGCATTTTGGGCCTCATATTCACTAGTTTTAACTTTAACATTTCAGTTTCTTAAAATAATTTGTCATAATTATCATAATCAATTCAATATAGTTATATTATTTCATGTATTTTTTTTTTCTGGCTGCAGGACCAACGGCTGCTGCAGGAGTTCAACAAAATTGAACCTCCTCTCATATTCGAATGCAACATGGCGTGTTCGTGTTATCGAACGTGCAAGAACAGAGTGGTCCAAGCAGGCATAAAGTGAGCCTCACAGATGTTCACCATATGATCACAGATCACCATTGTATAGTTTTGTTTTTAGCAAATACAATATAAGAACTGAACCTTGTTTCTTTTAATGGTTAGAAAGATTCCACCACGTCTAAGAGTCAGGAAGAGGTTAACAGTTATTTTATTACACATTGGTTAGTTTGGAAAAACAGTGGTAAAATGCTGTAATAATCCATACATGCATCTGTTTGTTCATCCGTCTTAGTCTTCTGGTTTTCTAAGACAGAACTCTTCATAGAAAAGTCTGGAAATCTAAATCACAAAAGTATGGAAGTTTTGATTTAATGTGGAGGAATCTATGAATGAAAATCACCTATAAGTTGCAGTTTGTTCTTATGAATCATATTCAGACAGCTTTGTGCTCCATTTTTTTAAACACACCTCTGTACTAATCTTTGAAATTTCTCACCTCTCAGAGTTCGTCTACAGCTCTACAGGACTGAGAAGATGGGCTGGGGAGTTCGAGCGATGCAGGACATCCCCCAGGGAAGCTTCATCTGCGAGTATGTGGAAAAAAATTCAGCTACTACTCATCTGCGGATCTTTCCGGTTGAAGAAAACATAATGAAATCTTTTTCTTTTTGAAATTCAGATATGTCGGAGAGCTGATCTCTGATGCTGAAGCTGATGTTCGCGAAGATGATTCCTACTTGTTTGACCTCGACAACAAGGTGAACTACACAGATAGAAGCCGATTTATTATTTTAACAAGAACTAATGTGCAAAGAGATTTAAGTTGACAGAAGAAAACAAACACTAGGGATTCTGAAGAGATTCTATTATAGAGAAAAAGGAAGACTGAAACAACTGTTTCAAAACCTTCCTTATAGCTAAAATAAACAAATCAGGTATATATTGCATGCTAAAACAACATCTTCTGTAAACTCAGATAATCTCTAGAGATTTGCTTTTGCAATCGCAAAACGCCAACCTGTAAGCGTAAGATGAAATCAGTAAGAGAGCTGAATCAGACAAAGTAAGAATGAAGCATTGCAATGACTGAGCAACTCCTGTCAAAATGAACACCTGTATTCTTTAGCAGTCAGTGCAGTTGGAGCACTGCTAGGATTGTAAACCCAGAATCCTGCATAAGCTGCATACTGAGGAGCTTCTTTGATTTGGATGTTTTTTTCTCCAAAGGATGGGGAGGTGTACTGTATAGACGCACGTTACTATGGCAACATCAGCCGCTTCATCAACCACCTGTGTGACCCAAACCTCATCCCAGTGCGAGTGTTCATGCTGCATCAAGATCTGCGTTTCCCCCGCATCGCCTTTTTCAGCTCCAGAGACATCCTGAGTGGACAGGAACTTGGGTGAGAAGCTGTTTTTGGGTTTTCATTCTCCTTGATTTGTAGCAGCTATTTATCATTTTGAACTGGGACTTACTTTTAATATGTTTGTCTTTAGGTTTGACTACGGTGACCGTTTTTGGGACATAAAGAGCAAGTATTTTACCTGCCAGTGTGGATCAGAGAAGTGTAAGCACTCTGCTGAGGCCATCGCTTTGGAGCAGAACAGGCTGTCTCGGATGGAGGCCTGTTCAGAGTCGGGAGCTGACTGTGGGATGACCATGATGGGAAACTCCTAAAACACTTGAACCACAGGGCCTTCCGATTAAACCCCAATAAGTTTACAGGAACACACAGTGGATAAAAGATCTGGGGGTATCGCCTGCTGCGGTGCTGTTATGTTTTACTCTTTTCTAAAGCTGTCACTTTATTAAATTCACTGTTGCAGAATTTATTGTAAAGGACCAGATTTAAAACGGTTTTAGAAAATCTACAAAATCTCATTATCATGTATGCAGTCATTTTAGTGTAATAGAAAATGCTTTCTGAAACATTTTGCTGGAGGCCTTCATTACACAGTTACATATTTTAGATTTTTTTTATTTGTTATTTTTTTGTAAAGTGTCAACCAGCTCAGCATATTATGGAAAAATTACACAGCATCAAAATAAAGGCCTTTCTAACTCATAAATCTTTGTATCATATCAGTTGGTTGATTGGTGCTTGTCGTAGTTGTCTTTTATTTTTATAAATGTTTCTTCTGTCACTTCTAGGGAAATAAAACAACAAATTAGTTTACCCTTTGTCCTTTGATTGTTTCTCTATACTGTCAGCAGGGGGCGTTAAAATTATGTTTTGTGAGGTTGGAAGCTTAGAGATACAGTAAATGCAAAGATGTCTTACTCTGAGTCATTATGACCCATGTACCTTAATTTTCCCGACAGAAAAATGGAAAATATCTTTGCACAGCCATTTTTTTTTAACTAGTTATATACAGATCAGGATAAAAAATGAGTTACATTAAAGCCGCAGATCACCTGGGGAAACACTGATCAATGCAAGACTGCTGGAATGCTGGAAAGAGGGCCACCTGGCCCTCAGACATTCAGTGGTCATTAGTGCCTTGGTCTAAGGACCCAATTATGCAGATCTGGATTTGAACCAATGACCCTCTTTTTCAGGACACCAGGGGTGGCCATGGGCACCCTTAGCCAATCATTGGCCACCCCTACCATTTTTCCCTCTAATACAGATGGTGGCAGCAGTAAAACTCTCAAGTGGAATATTCAAAACATTTTCATTTTTTGTAGTTAATTATACACATCAAAATACTAACATCAAAGATGATAAATACAGAATTCATGCTCTTCAGAACTAGATTTTGTGTTTTATGGGGTAAAGAGAAAATTGTCTCTGCAAGTCATCTAGGAGTCTTCTGTGAAATCAAAGATAAATAACATTTTCAATAAAAACTTTATTAATTTACGTAGATATTAGTGGTTGTAAATATCAATTTTATGCCAAATGTTTATTGATACAAGTAGGTATGTAATGACAATGATGATTGATTCACGCCCCAGAACTCAAGACTGAGTTTTATCCACTATACCTTTTATCTTGAAATTACGGATGTTTAAATATATTTGTCTATTTGTTAGCAAAGGCTGTATGAAAGTATAGTTAGTCTTTATTTAGAAAATATGGATGTTTTGCTCATTCATTTTCCTGTTGGAACAGTGTAGAATGACCCTGAGGTTCTGGCACCTATCTGCTTTCGGCCCCCCTCAGTGATTATTGGTTATTGCCTGGCCACCCTTATGATAAATTTCTGGCTACGCTTCTGCAGGACACACAGTTGTATCACCCTTGTAATACCCATAGTAGTTAATGGCATATATGCTGAGATTTAAAAGAAATAAATCATACATTTTAACAAGCTCAACATTCTTGGTCAGGTGAAACAAAAAGCCCCGACCAAATTACTATTTATAGTGAATTTTGGGGAAGGACATTACAAAAGAAAAACAAAGAAGTCTGCTTTATTGACAGTAGTTAGTATGAAGCAAATATGAGGAGTGATGCCTCCCTTAATCTAAACGATCTATGGTGGAGCTCACAGGTGTGCATCCCTCCGCAGGTGCTTTCATGTCGTCACTGCGTGGCTAGAACTGCCAGGAAGCAAAAGATTTCCCCACTTAGTTACAATGCTCGGTGCGGACACAGCAGAGCTATTTTTAAAACAGTTTTAGCTTCTTTTTTTTGTACATTTTGCCCTTTTAATTGGAGCAGACATACAACTAAGAGCCGTTAGAGGGTGAGTTCGGAGGAAAATGGGGAAAAAGAAGGAGGACAGTCCGGACTCCGGCTACGGTGAGTCCGCTTTGCCCGTTAGTTTTCCCGGAGGCTCACTTCCAGAGCTAGCTTATTGAAGGTTACTCTAAACCAACGGTTATTTCTGTAAATGACTCCTAAAACCGTCCTTTGAATATATCTGCCCACTATAAATGCTCAAATTTTGATTTATTAAGTTTAACTTTTATCATTTAGTGAAATGTATTTGGGGACATTTATATGAGAGAGGAAAATTTTACTATTAGCTAAAGTTTAGCTAAATTAAATAACAGAAATGAATCTCAGTTGTCTTGTGGTATAGAAACAAGTTAAATATAAAATTATAATTTTATTATCATAAAATAGTAACTTACATGCAGCCAACGTAAAAATATTGACCCAATTAAATATTTCCAACTAACCTAAATTATTTAAGACTTTAATATCACTCTTTTTTTTCCTTTTTTTTTATTATATCCTTAATATCCACCATGCGTTTTAAATGTTGCTTTTAATTTTAAATATTTTATTACAGGATAAACACATTAAATGTTTAAAAATTGCTTCCTTTTTAAAAAAAATTATTTTTATTCGATCATGTTGTAATTTTTAAAATTTAAATAACTTTTAAAGAAGTTTATTGTATTATTGTTATTGTATTAGCATAACAGCAAAAGTTATTATTAAATAAGTTATTAGGTATTCAAAAGAGAGTTTACCTTTTGAAGCCATGAAAGTCTAAATTTTGATTTAAACTTTTGCTTTAGTTATTTACGAATTTTTACTCTAAATTATTATTTTCTGCTAGTCGAGCACTAGTAAATTGTAGGCTAGCTATTTTGTATCCCACTCATTCAAAAATACTCAAATATTAACTAAGTCCTCCATTGTTTTACCACAAAATCCTAAGCGACATCAAAGATGATGTAGTTTTTAGCCAAGTATTTTGGCTTCTTCTAGAGAGACTACATTTAAAACTGAATTCACAAATGAATCCATAAGTAGCAAACACTGTGCTTTGTTTAGTTAATTTTCTACAAATGCAATGCACCAATAACTGACTTAAAATTCACTTGACTGGATGCAATTTTCTTTAATACTGTATGAGTTGGACAGAAGCTTAAGCTTAGTAAAACTAGAAGTGATTAAGAAGAAAAACAAATTGTTGTCAAAGGTTATTTTGTGTTAAATTTACCTCAGAAACTAAAGCTTACATATAGAAGTGATGTTTTAGCTTTCTGTGTTTCAGTTGTCAGTGAGGAAAATTTAGGTTTTATCAATTTTTATATTGTTTTTTATTTTATTTTTTTTATGCTTGGTGACCTTGCTTACAGATATAATCTGAATCAGAAAACTGCGAGATTAAAATATAGTTATTTCTGTTTGTGTCATTCCAACTGTTCCTCACATCTATTATGAAATTCTAAGCCAAAACAAGTCCTTGGGCTACTATATAAAGCTTTGAACTCAATGCTAATTCTGACATTTTAAATTGAAAAAACTTCCTGGATGGGAAACGAAGCGTTTTCAAACTTGGAAACCAAATCCAGTGGATTATGTTTTAACTTTTTTGGAATGACTGTGACCTAGATGACTGGGAATCTTCACCAGCAGATTACAAAGTTATTACAACGCAAAATTATTACACTAGATGCTCTTTCTGTCACAGTCTGGATACAAACCCTGGTCCCCATCATTACAATCTAAGACTTCAAGAGCTTCACCATAGGGACTATAAGTGATAATAGTATAAAATGTGCATCTATAATATGTGAAAAAAGTTGAAACGGGTTGAAAAACAATATTGAAAATCTAGAAAATAATGGGTGATTATGAAACAATAAGACACAGAACAGTGGAAATAAATTTGTTCCAGTCAAATTTAAATAAAATAAACTCCGCTTCCCATTTATGCTGGCAAACATTTAGTTTATTTTAATCATGCACTGTGCAACCACAGCTAGGTTCTTGCACTGGAAGAGAGAGAAATAAAAAAAATATTTCTCAAGTTTAAACAGACTGATAATTAGTATTTATCTGATATTTATGCTTCAACTATGTTGGATCTTGAGGTCAGTGTCTGTGAGGAAATCTCAAAGTTTAGGATTCTGGCCTCTGGGAATGCTGCAGTAGATTTTCATTTCCAATTGGGAAAGTAAATGCAAAGTGGAATTAAAAAGAATGTAAAGTTATGCACCATCATTTGCATTTTCCCCCCAACGAGGTTTATGCAATAAATGCTTATTTGCTGTTTTAGCTTATATCGCAGAACATAAATGAATACATAACTTTGAAAGACATTGTATGGATAGCGCTGTGCTTGTTTTCGTTTTACCTTTTTCTTAAGGTAAGTTTAGATCTAAATTTGTAGATTTTCAGAGCCATGAAAAAAGGCCATTGCTGAATACTACAACACGTATTACAGTGTTTCTGTTGCTATGATTGTAACTTTTGAAATTTGAGAATATTATCTCATAGTCCGGCCAGGCCTTGTTTTTTTATTTTTCCATTTCAGAGAAAGGTCCCAAGTATACCTTTTGTTTTTTTTGATGGTCTTATAATAGGCACAAATTATAAAGTAAAACAATGCTGAAAGCTCCACAAAGAGAACCCTGAGGGGAAAAAGGTCCACTAGGCATTGGATCTTGTCTGTATTGTTAAGAACATAAGTTAGTTCTAACACTGCAGTCAACAAACCCTCCCTTGCAGGTAAACATCTGGGAGTGTTTAATGTATCTTCAAACAGCTTATTAAAATAGGACAGATTTGGATGTCGGGCTTGACCTAAAATAACACCAGCTCTGACAAATATGTCCTCTCTTCAACCACCTTTTTTATGTGAGTTTGAAATCTATCCTAATGGATGAAAATTGGTTTGAAACTTGTGTGGTAAGGAAGGAACAAATGGTACCACAAAACACCCAGATGCTTTACTTCGATGAAAGAGACATTTGTTTAAACAGTTTCTGTCCTTTGGAACCGTTTCCTGTTTAAGTCTTCCGTAGGCATAAACGGCTTTAAACAATTTCTTTGTTTGGGATTTTGACAATAAACCATTAAGCCAGAACCTTTGCTGAAACTGCTTGTTTGAGCAGAAAGGTTTTTTTTTTTTTTTTTAGCACAGCGTAGTTAATTTAGTTAATGATTCCACAAATGAAAAGTGGTCTATCTTTAGAAAAGTGAAGTTAAACCGAAGTAATGTAGAGTCTTAAAAAACAGCATTACAATATTTTATAATATTGCAAGCTAAATTACAATGTATTTAGTAGTTTTTTTATCATGAAAGACCAACACAAAGTAGTGAAGAAAACACACTAAATAGAGCCAGAACTAAAATTTCTAAAATAGCCATATTCATTACACTGTTCCGTTAAGGGATTAGTTAAAGTGAGAGAGTTAAGAAAATTTCCCACCTTCAGTTGCAAGCATTGTCATGCATTTGCAAAGGTTTGTTTAGAGGGGGTATTGCACTGTTTGAGAAGAAAATAAGCAGGAAGAAGATGATCCTCATTGTTGATTAGTCAGGAAAAATGTAGATCAATCATTCCCTTCTCTATAAATGAACACTTTACAACATGTCTACCCGTGTCATCCAACACCTTATTGTTGGATGACACGGGTAGACATGTCATCCAACAATAAGGAATTGAGATACAGTTTTTTCCTCGTTCCAAACCTCAAATGATCAAGTCTCACCTCTCTTTCTGTCTTCCTGCTGGTATGCATTCATACTACAAGGGAATTGCTGAGGGTTTGGAAAAACCTAACAAACTAAGACCGGCAGTAGTAGACCATTTCAGGGACTGGGACGGGTTTGACACCGACATGATCTACTCAAGAAACTAAACGTTTTTTGTAAAATCAATGTTAACACATGAGTATTTTTTTTTTCCTGTCCTGGTTACATATCTTCTTTCAGCCTGGTAAAGCTGAAGCTGTTTAACAAAGAAGAATTAGCATATATTTCACTCTCCAAATGTAGATAGCTGCTCGACACATAACCCAAACGACCTTCTACTTCACAGCTACAGTGGGAAGAACAAGTATTTCATTCACTGCTGATTTAGCAGGTTTTTACACTTGCACAGCATTTTGAAGTCTTACATTTGCATCAAAGGTATTCTTTAACTTTGACCTATGGAATATAAAATAAAATTCCAGAAAATAACCCTGTATAAATTTTAAGTGATTAATTAGCATTTTCTTAAATAACATTAGTATTTAAAATAGCAAAAAATATTTTCTTCCTTGCAATTACATATGTCAGATGCTTAGACTGCTGCAGGAATATCTGTATTCACAAAAAAAGGTTTTTGACCTAATTGATGCATTTAGTTTTTTTGATGTATAAATTACTTTCAATTACATATTATATTATGTAATGAAAATTAAAATTCATGACAAAAAAAATCAAACAATAGGATTTTCTTAATCTTTATTTAAGATTCTATCACTCACAGTAGAATTATTCCTATGATTAAAAATAAAAGATTTCCACACACTTTGCAAGTGAGACAACTTGCGAAATAGACAGTGTATCAAACGCTTGTTCTCTTCACTACTTTATGCTGTTCTGTCATATAAAATCTCAATAAAATGCACTTTCATTAGTAGCTGTGATAAAATGGGAACAGCTATCAGAGACTTTGCAAGCTATTATAAATCTGAACTGTTTTACAGAGAGTGGAATTATCTTTTTTTAGTTTGTTTTAAAATACTTAACATTTCTGTTGGTTATTATTATAAATTAGCAAAAAAGTAAAAAAAAGACAACTTTGTTTATATTTTTGGTCATTTATTATTTTTAAAATCGATTTAACTCTTTCTTATTCATTATATTTTTTTTTTTTTTTTTTTTTAAATAATATTACCCTTTAAGAACCAGTTGCCACTTCCTCAAAGACATTTCAAGGCCGTTGCTACACATAAAATATCTCTTCCAGTAAATGTTTGATCCTCCTACTGTTATATTCTGATTTTGGAAAGAGGATCAAAGTGCCGAAGGCTAATTTTAACATAAAATTACATAAACCCCCGTT